AGGGGTCAACTGTATAATTAAGTGAACATATTCCTTTAATAAATTGGACTGATCGAGAGTATTTCTGTTTTAAATCATGTTATAGAGATATGGGGATTTAACATTTAATATCTACAACTGTAGGTATAGAACATAAAACTTCTATTTACAAAAATTCTTAATTCCTTGTTCTTTATAAAAAACAATCCTCAATTTATGTAATAGTTAAAAATATTGTTCAAAACTTTGCAGTAATGTGTAACATCAAACAATTTTGGCTCACACTTTTCTCTTAGTGATTCACTATGAACTTTATACTTCCAATGAATCTTAGCTCTATTATTTACCAGCAATATATAGCTTCTACCTATGAATGAAGATTACATTTTATCTCAAGCTGCTGAGTCATAATCCTCTTCGTTTAACACGATAGTAGTAAAATGTCATTCTGCAGTAGTTTCATAATTGATTCTGATAACATTAGAATAAGGTATTAGTTCCTATAAGATACATTTAGTAGGTCTAGCAATATTTTACTTGACTGAGATATTTAGGTAAATAACTGTTAGAAACTGTCATGGTGAATCACTCTTCACTTCCCCTTGATTTAAATCTCCCCCTTGGGGAAATTTTAATAATTTTGGGGGTATCTTCAAGCAAACATTGAGATTAAAAAAGCTGCAGTGTGAATACAAAATGGACGTGAGGATTTTTACTAAAATTAGATATTTTGGAAACAACGTTTAGATTTTCTGAAAATCAAATGTGGTTTGCTTAAGTCTAGCTCAGGAAAAACAATAAGTACAGGCATCGCAACCTAATTTATCTAAAGGGGGGATGCGCAATAATCTCGAATTTCAATTGTCAACGCCTACAGTAACTTTTAAAGAGAGATGCAAACAATAGCTGTGTTGTCGGGGGTGATCAGTAGATGATAATATTTTCTTGAATTTGTGTTTGTGTAGCATGTAGATTTTGAGTTCTATTTTATTTTTATTTGTTTGTAGTGTTTTCTTTTGAGTAGTGACTTACTTGTGTTAAAATGCCTAAACATTTAGGTAGTCATCTATTCGAATAATTTATGAAAAAAAAAGTTCCTCGGCAACAAAAAGTTTTGAAAAAAAAAAACAACAATGATAGTGAAACTTATAGACAATGTGTTGTGAACGATGATCCAAAAACTCTCACTGAAATTAAAGAACACGTTGCTGAAGCTACAGGATACTCGGTAAAAACAATTGAACGAATAATTATAGAAGGTGAGATATCAAAAGGTGAAAAGTCTACGTCGACCATATCTAAACAATTGTTTACAAGTCCAAAAAAACGCAAAAGAACATCAAGTGTAACATATATTCCATCCTACAATATTGGAACAATCAAAGATATAGTTCATAGATTTCACGAAACCGAAGGTATGCGCGTAACAGTCAAAACTTTTAGTGAAAAATTAAAAAAGGAAATTGAGTGGAAAGGGAGCTACACATCATTAAGAATTATTTTAAAAAAAATTGGGTTCAAGTGGCAAAAAACGCGAAACAACAGACATGTTCTAATAGAACGGCTTGACATCAGGGAAAAAAGAATAGATTATATTAAAAAAATTAGATATTTTCGTTCTCAAAACCATCCCATTGTATATATTGATGAAACTTATATACATAGTAGCCATACATCATCACATAATTGGGGTGATGATAATGCAAAAGGTTTGTTTTCCACCATTTCGAAAGGAAAGAGACTTATTATAGTTTATGCTGGTGGTAACATGGGCTTTATTCCTAACAGTTTATTAATGTTTGTGTCTGGGGCCAAATCTGGTGATTATCATAATGACATGAATCAAGAAAATTATGAAAAGTGGCTAAGAGAACTGTTAATACCAAATTTACCATCAAATGCTATTGTAGTTGTGGATAATGCACCGTATCACAATTCAAATTGAAGAAAAGCTGAAATGGTAAACTGGTTGACGTCCAACAATATTGAATTTCAACCTTCCTTATTACGACCACAGCTATACACATTAATCACACAGCATAAAAATAGATTCAAGCAATACCAATTTGATAGATTATTCTCTGAACACGGTCATACAGTTTTGAGATTACCACCATACCACCCAGACTTAAATCCAATAGAAATGATCTGGGCTGTAGTAAAAAATAATGTAGCTACAAAGAATATTTATTTTAAATTAGCACCTGTACAAATGTTAGCTGAAATTTAATTTAAATCAGTAACCCAAAAAGACTGGAAAAAAGATGTGTAGGTACATGTAATAGCTGTTGAAGACAAATATTTAGATCGCGAAATTATAATAGATGACGTTGTAATTCCTACAGTTATTATTAATGTTAATGAAGACAGCAGTGATAGTTCTATTGATAATGATGATTTTGATGACGATTTTTTAGAACTCTCTTAATTTGTTTATATTTATTTTGTTTGATAGTAGTTATAGCAACAAGGAATAGAGGTTAGTATAAATTCAGTATTTGTTGACCTATAACATATTTTTAAAAAATCCTCGTTGTCTTATTTTAATATTTGTATACTGATGACTTTCACCACTTCTACTTCACCCTCACATTTTGTTAAAATATTAAAGATATCAAGTGCAAAATCACCATTTTTTTCACCCAATAAATTTTTTTAACAGAATACATTTTAGCTCATAGATAACAAATAAATTTTAACAAATTCTGTAGTACTTAAAATCCTATTTACATAATTGCGTTTGATCCATTGTGTAGGTAATCTGGTATTTCCTATAATACCATCAAATGATAGCCATTCTTAGAAACGAGGGCGGACTCGATTTGACCGTTATTAAGGATTAAAATTTTAGGTAATTTTCTTAAAATTTTGTGATTAATCTCACCGTGATCGTTTTAAAAATCCTAGAAAATGTATTTAGCTTTAATAGTAGACAGTAAGATCGTTTGAAGGTGTGTCAGCAGTGCGCAAACTCTACCCCACTACTGACAAATTAGGATGCGATGCCTGTAGGTACATGATAAATATTTAAACTGCAGAATTAAAAAGCGTTGTTACATATAAGAAAAAATATACCTACCTAATAAAATGAATGAACATTCTTTTTTCTATTTATGTTCATTGATATATCTATTTGTAATCAGTAATATTCAAAATTAAGCATGCCATTTGATGGACAGATTTTTTAATGTTATTCTTTGATGTTCTTTTTACCTACAATTTAAATATATCAAAGTGTTGATGAAGGATTACAATTTTAATCCAAATCATTCAAATATTCTACATTATTGTGGAATGTAAAGAGGTATGGAAACACATTAAAAACGAAAATAAGGCACGCACAAAACCATCCATGATAATAAAAAATCGGAAGCGCACTTTTATCAAAATTTTCAATTTTGTACTACGTGTGAGTGAAGAACACTCCCAGACAGCACACCAAATCCTTTGGATATCTACTGAACATCCCAATATCCACTGAATGTCCAGTCCATGGTGGATATCTATTTTATATCCATGAAATGTAATTTATAGACATGCAAATGTCCATAAATAATTGTAATTATATAGCAAATTATTAAAAAATTACGCCATTGTACTCGCCATTGTGGCTAATAGTACCGTTGAGATATTTAAAATTAATTTTTTTTAAGGTGTATTCAATATCCCATGGACATCCACTATAAATATAAATATATCAAAGTCTAAGCGCGGACGCAAACCATCGTGGATATCTACTAGATGTAATTTTTGATTTTGCTTCCTAAGTATAGATGGCGATACCACTTTCGTATCTACTCATGCTTAACCCGCCGTAATTGAGTTTGATCGACATTGTTTCACAAACAGACTTCATTAGAGACTGAAGTCGAGAAGTTCCATTTATTGCTGAAGATTCCTAATAAGGATGATTTTCTCCTTAGTAGGCAAAATCAAAGGCAGATTGTTGGGAATATTTTTTACCTCTATTTTCTTTCGACGTTATTCAATAACCATTGGTTACTTATGAACCTCTACTAAAAATAATAATAAAATATTTATCTGAATTTCTATATCCTGGGATATAGACGGACATTTGGTTGGATATCCACAAAATATATTCTATGGATATATCTGGGATTTCTTGTATTGTCTGGAGATACTCATTAGATATTTTGCTGAATATCCATAGGATATCTTCTATATTCTGGATATAGACGGACATTTGGATATCCATATTAGTTCCACGGAATATTTCTGATATCCTGTGGATATATTGGATATCCACAAAATATATTCTGTGGATATCTCTGGGACTTGGTGTGTTGTCTGGGCTACTATTAGTAAAAAATATCAAAAATTGTCGTTAATAATGAAAATTCAGCAGATGCTTTTATCAAAAAAGTCATTAATTATGAAAATGTTTGTAAATCGTATAAACATTGTTGCCAAATCTATTAATCTATATTAACATTCATTATAAAATATTGGACTAGTAAGGTTGTAGCTCAAACAAAGTATATGTTGGCTCACAGGTATACCTATATTTAACTATTTTTAAATAAAATAGGCACATGTCTACAGTGTTTACAGGGTATTTTAGTAAAAATTAAAATTGACAGTTTAATTTGTAATATTCCAGGTAATATATTGTGGCTTACATTATTTAAAGAATATTGTAAATACCCCATTTTATAAATATTCAAAGCATTCCATAAATATTTTAAATATTCCGGGGTTATTCTAAATAGTCCATGATTATTCTAAATATCCCATAAATATTCTAAATGTTTTATGGGTATTCTAAATATTTTTTGAAGTAATGTTCTAAATGATCTACAGAATTCGTGTGCATTGTGAATATTCTGAGAAAAATATGATAGATACTTGATAGATTTTAATAATATAAAAATTTGACTTACAATAAATATGTTTTTTAATTCGGATAAAGTTTCCATATTATAAAAATATTAATGATTTATGAATGACTCAAAAATGTCTAATTAATTCTAAACAGTCGAAGAATATTCATAATTTAAGAGCACAAAGTTATCTTTTTTTTTGTTCCATATTTTTATTAAATATAGAAATACGGTACAATTTGACACGAAAACCTGTCATTTTACAAAATTTGTTTAAAATATGCCTCTGGAAGCCAACACACATCACAAAATCAATTAAAGTGATACATTTGGATTGTCTTGTATAATAGAATATTTGTTTTGCCGCAAAAAAAGAAAACAAATGAAAAAAGAAACCTGTAGGTCAAATACACAATTGGTGAATCTACACTATGCTAATTGTCCTAGACAACGCTACACTTAAACAAAGTGTCACAGCAATAACAACTGTCGATCTCGTAATGCATGTCACAAGACATCATCATGATCGTCCATATCATTGTCCATATCTCCGTCTTGATCTAAATCGTCCTGGTCCATTCCAGGCGACATCTGCTGGTGGAGGAGAGCTTGAGAAGATTTCGGATCCTCGTCTTTCCATTTGTCCATCGATCGCCTTCTCGCGTTCATAAAGAAGTTGCCCACTGTCGTGGGCTCGAGTCCAAGTTGCCTTGCTATCGTTACTTGCATTTCTTTCGATGGCCTCTTGGTTTCCTAAAAAAAAACACAGAACACCAAAAAATGTATTAATTATAAATGATATGACGATTTCTATAAAACAATATCAATTTGAGGAGAGCCAACCGTGTAGTGTGTTAAAAAGCTTGATAAAGTTATTTAACTATTACAGGATATTTTGATACTAAACTAACATTTCAATATAATCTTTTTCGAAAAGATCAGTATTCAATAATTATTTTTCAATAATTATCGAGTAAACATGGAACGCCTATGGTTTATTGGACATTGTACCTAAGAATTATAAGTAGACGGCACAGATAAGTTTTACTATTCCACAATTAAATATCAGTATTATTAATATATCTATATATAATTCACAAAGACACCGCCGACGTTCAGCTTAGAAAACACAATTGTCAAACTGCAAAAATAAAGTGGTGAGATCAATTCTATTACAGCTAAACGACACGACTGTGTACGTTAAACGCATAGTACCCTTCGAGCAAATATGCTAGAACCGAGTATCAAATAAATATTTTACGCCTGGCATCGCTGTACGATGATAATCTGTCAGCTCGATTAATTATAACACCTTAATTTTAGCATCCCCTATTGGTCGAATCGAGCCTTTCTCAAATTTATATTTGCTGTAGCCCACGATAACCCGTAAGAAAAGTCGGTCAACGTGGACGCCCTTCCTTGCCCTTGTTTATAGTAATAATTAGGAAATAATATATTTTCAGAGAATCTAGTTACCTACTAAAATGGATTTAGGGCTGAAGTTAGAGTTTAGTTTTGTTCTTCCCTAGCAAGCTTAATTTTAATATTACGTACGTTGTAACGAGTAGGCATGAGCAACAACAGTATTTCAAGTTTTACCTTAAAAATAGCTTGAAGAGTACGACGTTGGAGGTCTGTAAAAACTAATCTCGGTTTCTTGGGGGTAGGGAGTTGCTCTTGGTTCGTGACAGGGTCCTCTTTCCGTTTGCAACCTGCAACATAAAACACTACTTTTTATAAAACCGTCATTAGACTTAAACATTCTTGTATAACAGAGAAAATACGAGTGAAATAATGAACAACTTTTAACTTAACATACAGAAATATCTTCTGTCATTTTGTTTTAGTTTAATATTTATTTTTATTTTAGGTTTTTATTTATTTACATTTTACTATAGGAGTAATTTGCTCTGATTACAATAAGTAATCTAAGTCTGGGTGCGTGGCACCTGCGTGGAAGGTTTCGTTTCCGTTTCCAAAAATGGATCGCCAACAGTTTGCCCTGATTACAATAATAAGTAACCTAGCTATTTCTGTTTAGCTTCATTAATAACCTTATACATTTTATTTGTGCTATACTCCTTGATAAGGAATTTGGCTTAATATAACTCAGTCGTCTTAGATCATTCATCTTGTGATCTTTATCTGTTCCACGTACAGGATAAAGGGCACCAGAATAAAATAGACATGTACAATGGAGACCCATTGGGGAGACATATACTTTTTGGGCAACCACATTCTAAGAACCTATAATACAAACTTGTACATAGTACAAAGGTAACAGAGTGAGCACTATATGAATTAAAATGGTTAAACATAATAAATCAATAGGCTGCAGTGTTATTGGAGATAAAATAGATCAGTCTAGATCAGTGATTTTTCTCTTTCTCTGGTCCATGTATTATTGGAACGTATCACGTAGTTTTACGGAAGTCCAGTTAGTTGCGCTAATTTTATTTAAAATTTTAATTGAATTACGCAAAGTTGTAAATGTCCCTCTTAAGGCGCAGTCTTCATTACTGAAAGTTGCTACAATTTTGCTAATCTAAGAAGAGCTCTTCCAAATAGTTATTTGAACTATGATTGTACAGGATTATTACAATTGTTTGTATATACAGTTTTCTTATTTTCTAGTTTTGCTAGGTTCTAAAGATATACAGAAGTATCAATAAAGATAAAGTTACAATTCTTGTTCTAGATTTTAATGATTTTTAACGATATAATGTCTTATTCTAATAAAAATATAGATAAAAAATACTCACTGCCCCGTTGAGGAATCTGCGCAGCTGTAAAAGAAAAATATTAATTTTTTTTTAACCTAACTCATTTGACATATTCTGCGATAACACTGCAGCCTGTTGGCTTATTGTGTTGTACCCTGTGTTACTCCATATATTACCCACTTTCTCATATGCATTATATGTTCTTGGGCCAACCCGTGGTTGCCTAAAACCTGCCAATCTCTTGCGATCCAAGGTGTCGCAGTCGCTCCTAGTTCCTTAGGATACGTTATACACACCTATCATGCTCAGGTGTCCCTTAGCTGGTGAATGTCCATTTATCAATCCTATATTATTTTCAACTGGTTTCTATTCATATAGAATAGTTTCCTCTTAATTTTGAACATGGTTCTCCTATGAAGCTTTCCTTGTACCACCATTTGAAGGTCCTACTACTTTTCCATTCACTCCTAGATGGTTAAACGCAAGTCTGCTAGCCTCTTCGGATGTACTTTTTGTACTCCTAGGTATATATCTAGTTCTAGTATTTCTGCTGATCCTCTTTTTGAAAGTTCGTTAGCATTTTCATTGCTCTCCATCTCATGATCACCAGGCAATCAAATTAGTTGTAAGTATCCTATTTCGTTTTGCAGTCCCATGCCAGACTCGAAGTCACTTTCTGACTATATATAACCATAATGACGGTTTGGTTGTATGACATTATATGGATCTGCTAGCATATTTTTTTGAATTGACTTCGTACAGAAATATTACAAATATTTATATTTGCTTTTCTATTTTTTCCAGGTTTTGAAGATAAGTGGAGATATATATCGAGGATCCAGAGTGAAAACCCGATAAGTAAGAACATTTTTGTCGCGTTTTCTAATTACAAATTAAAAATACTTTTGATAGAATGCCTGCCTCAATTTATAGTAAATTTTATAACTATCAAACGGATTGCTTTTAGTTTTTTCTAAATTGATTAGCTATACCGAAATTAAGACAATAAGGGATCGATTTATCGGACTTTCGGATGATTATTAAAGAATTTCGAAAAATGACAAGACAACTTATTATCCTGTAATCAATAAGTGTTAAGTTTAGTTTAATAAAAATCCGTGAAAAACTTAAACACGGGAAGTTATAGTTTTTATTTTTACTACCTACATAGATTAAAAAAATAGAATATTTTCCGAGTTAATAATACGCTAATATGAAATTCACGTACGGTGTTAGCAGAAAGAGGGAAGACCCAGGACACTTTGGACACTTTTCATACCTATATCCTTAAAATCCATAAAAAAAAACAAATTTAAACTCTGTTTGTACTCCACCAGACCCAACAAACAATGAAATTGCGGCACGTTGTTGAACTTTTAACGAATGTAATGTCAAAGCAACTTGTAACGGTAAAATCGGTATGGCCCGTTTGAAATTTGTAATTAACTGCCTTTTAACTTTAATTATTTGATGGGCCATTAACGGCTTTTTAACTGTTTCCCACATTCAACTGTAGGTTGAAAATGAGTGGGATGATCTCATCGCCCTCCACTGCGACCCAGATGGGTCTATTGTGGCTACATTCATACTTTTACCATGCTTTTACATTCAACTGTAAAAGCATGGTAAAAGTCAAAAGGATTTTAACTGCCGCAGACCTAACCCCAACAGCTCAAGATTTCATAGAGGGAGACACTGATGATCCCTTGCTACATACTAAACAGAAACTAAATTTCTGCTAATTCGGCATCCATCAACTTCTATAGAGAACCATGCAAATAAATTCACATGGTCTTCTGTAGGATTCGAAGCCGGTGAGTCTCCCAACCACAAAATTGCTCGCAATTGAATGCGAGCGCGTTGACTCCTACGTCGCCCATCCGGCTATTGCTGGTAAAGTGATGACGGCCTTCTGTCGCCTGTTGTGATAAAAAGTCAACTTACTAATTGCATACCCCCATCGAAAGGCCACTACTTGAAGTAACCTACATACGTTTAAAGGGCGTTAACTTGCCAAAACAAAATGTTTGTTGGGAAACGTTTATTATCACATGTCTTGCAATCAACGACTCATTGCAATATGGTCCGATTACAATAAGATGAACACAGCTACGTCATCAATTGGTGGAGTAATTTGCTGGCTATCGCCGCCTATTGAGGTTTTAGTATGTAGGAATAATATTTTTAAACCAAACAACTAAAATATCCTTTATATATTGATAGTTATAGATGATATATATTGGAATGTTATGTTGGGAATGGGGTATTAATACACTGCGACCTAAAAGATCTATTGTGTCCCCTTCTGTCGTTAATGCACCAAGGAAATGTCTCAATGCCTATAACAATCCTTCCAATCCTATCTTCTCAAGCAAAGGTTAGGATTTGGAGTGGCTTTAAGTTAGGTAAATCTCCCTCTTCTACTTGATATCCTTCTAGGTATAGTGCCCTTGGATTCTGGAGTGCAACACATTCAGTTATAATGTGAATGGAGGTTTCGTCCTCCTCCTCACAGAATCTGCACTTACTATCCTTTACTACTCTCAGTTTACTAAGGTGTCCTTTTAGTCGGCAATGCCCGGTAAGGATCCCTTTTACAATACGTAGCCTGTTCTTGCTCAGGTCCTACAAAAGGTGTTTGATCCCCTTTCCTTGCAAGACTATCTGCAATCTCGTTACCCTGTACCCCATTATGTCCGGGGACCCAAGTGAGAATAACTCTATTTTTCTCGTCTAGCTCATTCAATTGTTCTAGGCATCTTCAGACCATTTTTGAGCTTGAAGATGCTTGGGTATTTTTCCAAGTTTTCGGAATGCTTGGTTCTCAGCCTATACACTCTTATTCCAGTTCCTTATATGGTTTTGAAACCGTTCGTGTACCACTGAATAGCATGTCTTTCGGTTCCAAGCGCGGTGGATTCTTGGCTCCATTCTTTCTTGCAGCTCAGCTCTGTGGTTTTATAGTTTTTCACAAAACCTGGATCCCAGGTATCTTTAGTCCTGAAGCAAGGAATATATTGGAAATTTGAAATAATAGTTATGACGGTGTTCTTATTGTAATTGGACTTTACCTATCCTAATCGCAAACAAACTATTGTACATAAAAGAAAATCGTCTCGGGAGACAGTGAAGACAATAAATATATTTTTAAAAATATCTTCTTGCTAAATGAAACTGGTAACTAAATACAAGGTGTTTGTAAATAAGTACGAAAGATTTTAAAGGGTGATTTTGATACGGAGGTCGAAATATGCTTCACTCAGGTCTCCCCTAGTAAACACTGTATTTGATGGCATAAAGGTAATTTTTCTAGTTTTGCCGACTTATCCGGTTTAGGCTCTGAACCCTCGATTTTCAGAACCATCGGTAAAAGTTATGTACCTGGTTTTAATGATTTTCAACCTTATTCTAATTACTATATTAAAAAAAATACTCACTGCCTCGTTGGGGTATCTGCGCAGCTGCAAAAGAAAAATATTAATTAATCAATGAGTTGATAATAAAAAAAGTAAGAGACAAGTAGGTAATCTTATTGTTTTCTTTCAATTTTAGTCATGATTTCGTTTTTAATCAAATACATATGTTGACGATTGAGGATCAAAACATAGATATTGATTGATAGATAGATAGACATTGATAGTGATGTTGAAGTTGAAACCATGCAAATATAATTTATATACTCAAGTGTCGCTTTGATTTTGATGAGTTCGCCTTCAAAGTTACCTTCACTTGACAGTTTTAAGAAATTCAAGGTCTATATTTTCGTCCTGATTATGCTGCCAAAATTTGAGAACCAATTTCAGAAACGCGCAATATTTTTTTGTCATTTGCCACATTAAAATAAATCCAGCATGCATGTTAAAATTATCTTTCGTTTATTGTCAATAAACCAGGTTAGATGCCATGATAAAAGATATCTAAATTTATTGTATAAATAATAGCTGATCGTTTATCGTTATAAAAAACTTTCTAGTAAGCTATGGATAGATTTTTAATCACCGCATTAATATTTTGACAGTTTCAAAACTTGGAATACGTAAATTTAGCATAGCACCTGGGGTCATCAAATTTTGACATGCAATATATACGATTTCAAAATGTTTTGAACATAGAACATGCATTACACAATATCAAAATTTCATAAAATCATTTACAACGGCTTTACAGAAGCTTTATCGTGTAGTAAAATGCGATTTTAGAAACTTTGATCAGTGTATGGCCGCGCAAAACATCGATACAGACAGACAATTAAAACTCACAAGCACGAAGAAGATGAAGATGATTTTCTTCGTTTGGCGTTGACTGCCCTCACGTTTACATTGCGCGTCTGGCAGTCTGCAATGAAACAAGAGAGAAGTCAACAACGTCAATTATATAAATCAAATATCAACACCATCAAAAATATGTATAACAAGCCCGCAAAAGTGACACGTACGTTTTTATTTCATAAAATTGACGCTTCGTTTTTCCAATTAGTTACATAATACTTATACGATTATATTACAATCATTTTCCATCCCTATTTAATATATTTGGTAGTTTTAATAACTGAAGCTAACAGTTTTAAATTAGCTTCACTTGGCTAAATATTCATAACCGTTATATGGTTAATTCATATTTAATTCTTAAGTTTCTGTTCTTCATTATCATTTAATTTCAGTCAATAGCACTTTATTGACTCCTAATTTTTGTGCTCTATTGATAATACTTATACAGAAATTAATTATTAGTAAGATATAATTGACATAATATTTCTATAACACCAATTATTTCCAATCAATACTTCTTATTGTTATTTAATATAACTAACTGACGACGCTTATATTTTTAACTGTTTTATTATCAAATATTCATAATTGAAACATGGCCATATTACATAATTAATGATTTACTCTTCATTTTTGTCAATAGTACTTTATTGACACTTATTTCCTGTCAATTGTGCTCTTTTGATTCCTAAATCTCCTTGTTATACTATAATGACAATTTATTTATAGTAATTAACTATTAATTTATTGTTATTAGCAGAAATGATTAGATATAATTGACATATTGACATATCTGCATAGAAAACTCGTATAGCAGGAATTAGGAAAACAAAATAACCTAAAAAAATGTAAAAAACTTAAAATACAGTCAATATTAAATTAAAAAAAAAATATCTGCATAATATATTAAACTAATTATTTTCAATCAATATTATGTTGTCTTTAATATACTTGATCAATTATAAATCATCTAACTGTTAATTTTCTGTTAGTTACACTTTAATTATGTTTAATTTCTGCCCCTAAATTCGTAACAGCAATTTAGCTATTCATTTATTGTCAGAAAATAAGCAAGTATGAATGAGAGACGAGAACGGAATTTTTTTTGTAATAATTAACGCTTGGAACTGTTAAATCCATTTAATTATGAAATAAAACAGTACGTAACATTTTAACGTCTTGGTAAAAATATAATCAAGTAACAGAAGAAAATTTTTAGGTGGATATTAAAAACTGATTCGTACCGGGAGGAAAAATAAAGTGTCTGTGATAGATATACTGCCTTTAATATGTTCTGAAAATAGGCACCGTCACTGATTACTTAAGAAATATTCTTATGTAATATATAGAGTAATATACCTATTTGTGTTTGTGGATAATTTTTATAAAAACTTATTTAATTTACAAATATTTGATAGTCACGCTGAAATCAACGCATTGACTATTAGATGTATCCATGCCCTTTGCAAAGAAAGATTTTCAAATAGAGCTTAAGCCAGGTATAAGTTATTGGGTAAAAATAATCCCCTTCTAATCTCTGTACACTTTATGGACCTTTAAAATATAAGGGAAACCCTTTATTTCAGTGGCTTATTAGTAGGAGAAAGTGTACACGGACAAAGAAGTGCTAAATAAATTATTTACTTGAAAAAAATAGTTTTTTTCAACTATCACAAAAAATAAATCAATTACCATAAGTAAAAGAATGTTTCCAAACACGTATTTCTGTCACAAGTAAACAATTACCTAAAATGACGTTTTTAATAACCCCTAGTTAACAGTTAACTTAATTTAGGCACCTGCATGCTTACGACAAATGTATAATGTTTCTGAAACTACTTTAATGGCCACCAAATTACATATGTTTACCATTATTTAATTTTTATATTTTCGGAGAGCAATCATTTAAACTGTTATTCTCAAAACCATCGACATAAAATTCGTTAACGAAGTGAAAAAATCTATTTAAGTTCTTAACGTCAAATAACAGATATTTCTATTGTAGAAACACACTTTAATAGTTATAAATGAATCAATAAACCTACCACGGTAAAAACTTTACTAACAGTAAGATACGAAATTAGTATCCACAGAAACTAATATCAGTGAGTGTAAGTAAATAGTTCAGTAACAGTAGGTAATCTAAAAACTAATAAATTCAGAAATGTAAACATTTTATTTGTCCAATATAATATACAACTCGGAATAATCAAAATCAATTTTTCCGAGTTCCAAGTCGGAAAAATCGATTTTTTCCAGTTCCCAGTCGGAAAAATCTATTTTTCCCAGTTGTAAGTTGGAATAATCTATTTTTCCGAGTTCTTAGTCGGAATAATCTGTTTTCCGAGTTTTAAGTCAGAAAAATCAATTTTTTTGAGTTCTAAGTCAGAAAATTCGATTTTTTCCAGTTCCCAGTCTGAAAAATCTATTTTTCCGAGATTTAAGTCCCAATAATCTATTTTTTCCGAGTTCTTAGTCAGGAAAATCGACTTTTTCCGATTTCTAAGTCAGAATAATCTGTTTTTCCGAGTTCTTAGCCAGAAAAATCGACTTTTTCTGATTTATAAGTCGGAAAAATCTATTTTTCCGAGTTTTAAGACCCAATAATGTATTTTTCCGAGTTCTAAGTCAAAAAAATCAATTTTTCCGAGTTCCAAGTCGGAAAAATCGATTTTTTCCGAGTTCTTAATCAGGAAAATCGATTTTTTCCGATTTCTAAGTCGGAAAAATAAAAAAAAAAATTGTGGCCCTTCTACGCTTCCGTAGCACCACAAAAAATTATTATATTTTGTGATAAACACTTTTGGTTATATAGTGTGTTCCAAAAATTAAGTACAAATGTGAAGACGTTTTCTTTTCTTATATTTCACGAAACAAAACCAAAATATTCTTGATAAAACTTCAAAAATGTAGCGTATTTTTTAATTTTTATCAACATTTTAAATTACTTTTATGCTCTATATTGAAATTTAAAAATATTTACTCTTCATTGTAAACATTATTTTCCCTGTATGCCTGCCATCTATATTTTACAAAATTTGATGCTTATGGATTTCTAAGCGATATATATCACTAATATTTTTTATAAAAAATTTAACAATGTTATACATCACCATTAACTGATAAAATTGAATTAAGATGGTGTGGTTGTTAAATCTAATCCTATATAGTTGAAGCCAAATTCATTTCTTAAATGATTTGAGTTTCAACGTACAATGCTTATCAAACTGTCTATACCTACCTAGCACCCTAAAGTTTGCACCCCTAAATAAAAATGACTGAACCGGTAAGGGTTATTGCCCTAAAAATGGCATGACCAACAAGATGTTTGAAGCACGATTTATGTGTCATGTGCTTGCACAGTTTCGTAGTTATAACCTTTAACAGCTATATCTGTGCATTAAATAATAAAATACTTTAATATTTAATAAATAATAATTAAAAATGTATTTAGTATTACAATCTGTTAAATTTTTTTTATTATTTTTATATTAGTCAAAATTTTTATAAAACTTCAATAATTATACACTGAATCTTTTACTTTTGACAAAACTATTAGCTATACTGTTATTTATTATTTGTATATTTCTGGGCAACGACTGATGATATGTAAATTTGAGATATTTTTTTTTTGCATTCGTTCCTTTGAACATTTCTCTTTCAATATTCATTGAATATTCTGTTTGTTAAAAGTATGGGGTAATTATTCAAGAATAATTATTTCTTACCATTATGTAACAGATGTTTTAAATGAGTGCGATACGAACAATTTACTATTTTAAAAATTATTTATGATTTTTAGTAATTTATAAAATAAAACAAACTAAAAAAAATAAAAAGATATTAATGTCTTCCATCCTGGATTTGAATCCCGGGTCTTTCGCACTAACTAGCCAACTAACCTTTATTAGTTAATACCTACTCATATTAAATTGGTTTTAGTTAAAGGGAATAGTATTATTTATCCATTCTTCACAAGAATCACTTATTTTTAATTAAATTTTGGTCTTAATAACTAAAAAATATACCAAGTTGTGTGATTTGTAAAATAGTGATAAAGTGATTATTCTTAATAACGAACGACTTACAAAATGTAGAAACATTCCAAAAATTCGCCAAGAAAACAGCTTGAAATTTGCTAAGATGATTGACTTACATTTGAGGAAAACCCGGATAATATTTTTTTCAAATTT